CTTTTCTGACACTGCGAAGATTTCTCACAGATAGAAATTTGAACTTCGGCCTTAGATACAGAATGGTGAAGGGCTATGTCTGGTCCGTTTTATTATATGGTGTGGAAGCATGGACACTGAAGGTAGCAACAATAAACTGAATTGAAGCCTTCGAAATGTGGACCCTACGACGAATGCTAAGAGTGCCCTAGACCGACCGTGTGAGGAATGAAGACATTATCAGAAGAGCTAGTCTGGAACAACGTGAACTCTTCCAAATCATCAAGAAGAGGAAAATAGCCTATTTGGGACAGATACTACGTGGAGAACGCTATCACTTTCAGCGTCTGATTCTCCAGGGTAAAATAGAGGGGGGCAAAAGGGGAATAGGTCAAAGGAAGCTATCCTGGCTGAGAAATATTTGTCATTGGACAGGCATACAGGACTTCCAAGCACTCCAAGTCGCTGCAGTTAACAGAACCATCTGATGAGGAAGAAAAAGATGAACGCCTACGCAGGAATCTGCACGGCATGCGGCACCTTAAGAAGAAGATGTGGGAGCACGTTAATAAATTGTATTTTTACTTCCTTTAAACTTTATTTGTCTTATGAAAAACTGCTTCAATAAACAATAGACGAGACAATCATCCCAAATATTCCACAAAATAAATTCCTATGTAACTATGCAAATAAGAACCTCATTTCGAAGCAGATCAAACAAGAAACGGAAGATGCGGAAAACGCAGTAAATGCGGCAATAATAATAGATCTTCTTATTCGTCTATTTTATCTCTTCTCTTCTATTAGTACAGTCATTTTGAGGACTATAGTAATAGTTATAGATGAATGATAAAAATAATTAATTAACAATTAAAAACTTTAAAGATTATTAATAACAAAATAATAACAATGATAATTTTGTTACTATAGATACTCCTGCCAACACAATACCTGTAAGAATCATTACCTCTAATAGCTTTTTCGATCATGCAGAAAGTCCATTATTATAGTTCCTCATTATAACACGGTCGATGTAGATCCATGTCGCTAATGTGTCCGATCTGAAGAAAAAGTAGCTTTTGTTGGTATAGAAACGGCGGCAATTACGAAAATTGAGTAACCCAAGTGTCAAAAGCTTTTAGCTTAAAAGCAGCTCGCGAGGATCCGGTGGTAGTCGGTGTCGTACACCGATTTTATAATAATAGCGGTCACGCCAAATCGCGGCCTTTGGCGGATGGTGGCGTGTAAAATTTGTCGAAGCACGTCATTTGTGGATTTCTTTAAATTATTTTTCTATATATAGTGTGATATAAGGTGAAAACAATACAACAAAAGGAATATAACCTTGAGTTCTAATAAAACAGGCACTTGGTTATTTTGTTACATAGTTATATATTTTTACATAGTTATTTTGTTCCACTTATTTCTATCTTTGCCTTTATTCGCCACTCATTAACTTTTATCCTTCTCAAGTCATTTTCAAAATCTTTTTTCGATCCGGTTCTCGGTCTACACCTCCTTCTCTTTCCACCTATTTTACGTCTCATTATCATTTTAGAAACTATTGTTAATCCATACTTTCAATATGTCCTAGTCATCTCAGTCTTTGTGCTTTTGCTATTCATGTTATACTGGGTGCACGATATAGTTGCTTTATTTCTTCGTTTGTTCTTCTAGTCCACCATGTTGTTTATCTTCTTTTCTCCAAAAATGTTTCACAGTATTTTCCTTTCCCAAATTTCTAGCTTCGAATTTTCCGATGCATTGAGGGCCCACGTTTTACATGCATATACTACATATACTACTAATGGCCATACCATATTTTGTCGTACAGACTTTTTAACTTCTAGAAATGTTTTGCTCTAGAATTTTTTTTTAACTCTTAATAATTCTCTGTAGTGCGCTTCCACATCTATTTCCTGTCATTATTGTTGACATAATTTCCTAGATATTATGTTAATGTATCTACATCCTCAAACTGGTATCGTTTCAGCCTCTCAAAATTTATTTGTAAACATGTTCAAAACAGGAACATAAAAATAGATTTATTACTTATCAGTCTAATATATAAATATAGCAGGGTCATCGTAGATGTAGATTTCAGTCGTTTATGGCTAATGGCTTGAGGTCTCTTATCACTCAAACTTGCTTAGAGTGGGCTTGGTCTTGCACTAAAATCAAAACCAACACCAAAACCGACAAGGGCAGGGCTTACGCAAAGCCAAGAACCACCATATAAGACTTTTTTATTTTTACATTTTTATTGACATCTCATTTTGCATAGATAAAAACTAAAAAAATATGAAATTTTTATTTACTTTTATTACCCTTACTCCTATAATTTATTAAATAAAAAAATCATCATACAAATATTGTTCCATTACATAAAGTTTCATTTGCATTAAGTTGCTTGAATAACTAAAAACTATGCTGTCTATATTGTCCAAATACACTGTGGTACTAAATGCAAAATGGTCGAGTTTCAACAGCTCATGTAGAACATATCCAGCATTTTGGTCGCTGTTTAGGAGTCGCTTTTTGCTGTCAGGGGTAGTTTTCAGAAATTTGGCGCGATTGCTAGCTGCAAAATAGTCTACAGTTAAAATGCGGCAATTTTGCAGCTAATAGTTTGTGTCAAGAAAACCTATGCTATCCATTAGTTATTTTCCTGCTTTAGGCGCGATTCCCACTATAACGTACCGTCACGTTACAACGACGCGACGCGACGGCGACGTTACAGGTAGTGTGAATATGTTCATTGTTGGCCATTTAAGATTATTTACCTGTGGCCGGCGGCAAATTATTTGACTTTTTATTATCTAAATAAAAAATGAAAGTTCCCATCTGTCAATTATAAGTGTGGAACCCTGTGGACCCTGTGGAATATCCCCTGTGCAATGGACCCTGTGGAATATCTTAAGACAGCAAGGAATTTAAAAATTATTTAATCGTCTAGATACATCCTTTCTCGATAGTTTGCTTTTTGGTTCATCTAAATAGCTTTATTTTTTGAGATATTCGCTTTTGCAGAAGACACTAACAGTTTTTCGTAATTTTTGCTTTAAAACCATGTCTTTGCTTTTTGGTCCTAGTCAACAGATCTAGTAAGTTGTGGTCCCAAAGCAGGCCTTCTTGACATAAGATTTGCTTCGTTTAATCTTCTTCGTTAACCTTAGGTGCAATTCATTATTGTAAATTTGAAAAGCTGGCAAACGGCGCGGCGGTTTCTTAGTGGTAAACTTACAATTAGTAAATTGTGGTAAAGTCAATTGTCTCGATTCAAAGTCCTCATACGAAGGTTCCTCGACGTCTAGCATATGAACTTCTCTCGAGGAAGCGACTGCACTGTACTTCGTGCAGATCTAAATCTGTTAGCGACATAATTTTGATCTCTATGAACTTCAGTTAAAGGAACTACAGTAGATACAACTTCTGGACTTAAAACTGCTAGAGTAAGTGCCCAACAGCCAGCAGACAATAATAATATGATTTTTCAATAACAGTGACATTACATAAATTATAAATACTATTTCATAGGTCTGTTGACTGGAACCAAAAGCAAAGGCATGGTTTTAATGAAAAAATTACGAAAAAATGTTAGTGTCTTCTTCAAAAGCGAAAATGTCCAAAAAAATATAGCTATTGTGATGTACCAAAAAGTAAACTATCGAGAAAACATGCACCTAAATGATAAAATAATTTTTAAATTTCTTGCTTTTTTAACACTCCACAGGGCGCGGGCGTTTCAAACTTCAAACAACAAAATAACAACATTTTGTGTTTCCTCGTTTAAGTGGCAGATGGGAAGTTTAATTTTTTATTTAGAAAGAGATACTAAAATCTGGGTTGTTAATTAAATAACAAAGTTTGTAACTTTTTAATTTGTAATCCGATTTTTTTGTGATTATGGTATTAGTTCATAGAGAATTTCTTTGCATTATTTTTTATTATTATAATGGCTTATATATTTCGGTTAGGTGAGATTATACCGGGGTAACTCAAAACTTTGTTTTTTGCAATAAATTCAAAACACCCTATGGAAAAATGGGACGGACATTTTGGATTTGGAAAAAACACTTTCCTATTATTTTAGATGTATACCTAATATTTCATTTTTTGAATTATCCTATTATCTCTATTATTTTATGAGCTACACATTTTTAAATAAAGTACAGATATTTTTACAATCTTGAATTTGTTGAAAATGGAATTTATACTGGTGCATGATAATGCCAGGCCCCACGTTGCGCGGTGTAACGTGTTAGGAGTACGAGTAGTTAACGAGTACCCGAATGAGGTTGGACTACGAACATTGGAATGGCCTCCTTGTAGTCCCGACCTCAGTCCAACCGAACACTTATGCGATGAACTTAAAAGAGCTGTTCATCGTCGTCCTATTCCACCACAAAGTTTACAAAAGCTATGGATACCATTAACTGAGATTCATCGGTGAATGCTAGCCTTAGCTCATGTAAAGGGTTTTCTTGATCTATGGCTTGATATTCATCATACTATAGATCAAGAAAAAATAACTACCCCTATTCATTCATTCGATACGTGGAAGACCTCGAGTTGTTATTGCTACGAGAGGTGGACATATAGACGTTATTAAAATTATTATAAAATTATTGTTTCTGTCAATAAAAGAATATCTGAAATTAATACTTTGCTTAAAAATGTGTAGCCCATAAAAGAATAGAGATACTGGGATAATTCAAAAAATGAAATGTTAGGAATACATCTAAGATTACAGGAAAGTGTTTTTATCCAAAATGCCCGTCTCATTTTATCCATAGGGTGTTTTGAGTTTATTGCAAAAAAACTCACCTAAACGAAGAATATAAGCCATTAAAATAATAAAATATAATGCCAATAAATTTATCTTGACTCTGATACCATAATCATAAAAATCGAATTACAAAATAAAACGTTATGAAAGATCAAACTTAGTCAAATTTTTAATGTGGCGGAATTTTGTGCCGGGGAGTATAGTTAAAAACAATATAGTTAAACTAATTTACCTATATTTGTTCGATGAACTTTGGACATGTCCAGTGCAGACTCTTGCAGTTCCTCATCGTCTTCAATTTTCTGTCCACATTTCTGATTCAAAATATCGTTTATAGAAAACGGCGTCACCATTTTGGCGAGGCATGGATTTCACTTTAAGTAAATTGACACACCACCTCTTCCATTATTAATTTCCTTAATTTTATAAAAGTCTCTAACGCGACGTAAGAGCCCTAAAACTATTAGAACTCTTTTGCTTTTCTTTGAGCGACGTCTGTAATAGAACTAGCGGACCGGCCTCAATGAAACGACTCGACACACCACTCGCGTGGGCTAAGTAAATCACGGTCTGACAGCTCTCGCTCTAAGCCACGCGTTTCAGCATTTTTCCTCTTTGTCTGTCAACATATTTTAAGCCGGCCGGGGGGTGGAGCTTAAGGAATCGAAGAAAATCTGTCGTATCGTCAAGAAAAGTTTTGATTATTTCCCTAAGCTGACTTCCATTGATAGATTATTTTTAGTGATTTTAAAGGATAGGAGAGTCTCAGCTAATCCGGCTTTTTGATTTCGTTATTGATTGGTTTAGATTCCTTGGGAAAATGAGGCGAAATTGTTTATTGGCCAGTCGTTTTCGATTTCTTTCGAATTATGTTGTTTTTTTTTTATTTGCCGGATCGTTACGGTTCTTTGGATATACGGAGTGAGTCAAAATATCTAGAACGATAATTTTAAGCATTTATTGACCTTACTGGGATACATAATAACAGATATTATTATTACGGCTGGTACCCGCTAATTATAGATCTGTTGAGACCCTATTTTTTGAGTTATAACTCAACACACAGTCTCAGTACTTTGACAAAAGCCAGTATGTGAAACGGTTTTTTATAGAGGTTAGTTCTCCATCTCCGATATCAGTTGTATTAAAGTTTATGGCACGAATGATTTGTAAATCTGGTGCATTCTACTTCATTGAAGAGGTATTTTAGTATTTCTCCATTTAACCCACAGGAATCTGCATTGGCCGTTATTGTTTAGAAGCTGAAATCTATTGAGAATTTGGTGAGGTAGGCAATCTCCACCCATTAGAAGCCCAGTGACAATCCAAAGATTTTTTTTTTTTTTTTAATGATATTTTTGAAATGTTGTGCTACCGGAGAATTCTAAAAATTTCTTCGAGTGCCTTAAACCGTTGAAGGATTCCCATTCAGGTTACGAGGCCAGTGTCTTCCGGGTTCTTGAGTTCTGCTTTTAAGGTTGGTTTTCCATGCATGGAAAGCAAAAGGGTTCTAGTCTTTTTAATGGAGAGTTCGCTCTATTTCTAGCTAGACAATTTACTTTCTCATAACCTTCTATAACTTGGTGGACTGGCATCAGGAGTGAGGAGACAACTTTATTTTCTTTGCCAAATTTCATCTTCCCTAGGCATTCTTTGACCCACTTCAAATTGATTGTTACTGAATTGATCGCTCTTAAGGTTGCTTGACAATCGGATAAGATCGCTATTAGAACCACTTACTGACATTCGATTGGGCTCAAATTTGGTATTACTGTGTATGTTTGGTGATAATGCAATGTTATGGTACCATGGAGCTGGTCTGAAGATGGAGTCGGAAGGCCATATGAACTTCTAGCCTAGCCCTAAGAGTCGAATAAATATTTTTAGGGCTCCTTATAGAAAGAATTAGACATTTCTTAAATACCAAAAAAAATGCCTTGCAACTATGATGCATAAATTGAAATGTACTGATTAAGAAAAAGTAAAAAGTTAAAATAAAGGTATTTTTTAGCCCCCCATCAAGCGGGCGCGTCACAAAAGTATTCTGTGCAACAGAATTTTACTAATTTTGTTTAAGACAAAATATCCATTGGACATATAGTTTGGTGCCATTAAAATATTCTTATTTGAGATGTTGACATCTTGGGCCATAGTAGTTGCATAACCAACGATTTTGATTCAGTAGCAATTCTGTCGTAAACTTGTCAACTACAAAATTTGCGGTACTCCGTGCCGCTACGCGTCCGATTATGTAAGTAAATGGTTATCATATGTTATTTTAATTATTTTTGCTTTATTTAGTAATATATAATATCATATGGAAACACAGCAAGAACTCCGAACAATTTACATGAAATTTGTCAGCATATTCTACAGAATATATTTTTTTTATGTATGTATATGTATTTAATATGAATGTTTGGTTTCGGAGATACAGAGCGTAGAGATAGGTTAGGTTAGGTTTCATTTTTATTTTGATTTTTTTCAAATAATTTATAATTTATGAACTAGCGATATTTGGATGAAAATTGGTGTCTGGGTGTTTTTGACATGAAATTTTGTTTCGATGTCCATTGTCATCACGCAGGGGGCGCCATCTACCTCGGACATAATCATTTAAACCAAACTAATTGTAAAGAGGCATACATTTTTCGTCAATTTTTACTTAAAAAATGGCTCTTGGTAAATCCTTTACGAGGGAAAAATATTCTCAAGATATTTAGAATGGAAATAGTCAATACGTGCCATTAATAAAATAATAATTTTAAATTGTTAATTAATTTTTTTGATTTCTTTTATAATAATCTGTTAAATATATGTTATACTTAACCTGTATTAACGACAAAGGCCAGTACATAGAATATTTCCAAGTTTAAAAAGTTTTCCTCATAAATATGCTCCAGAGGTAAGCTAGAGATAATAAGAAGCGAGTTGGTTCCTGCCATGTATGTGAAACCCATAAAACTACTAGTTTTTGCAACTAATGTAATAACTCAAGACAAAAATGTTTCGTGAGATACATACAATTTTTATGATATATATTATATTTGTATGATCCACAAAGAACAAATTTTTGAATGTTTCTATTTTTTGTAATTTTTCCGATTTTTTCTTCTGCATGCTTCTAATCTGATTGCTCAAAGGAGAGTTATCCGAAAGGATTACAGAACACAGCCTTAATAGAGCTATTTGTACATCCTCCCCAGTAAAACGGACATAAGTGAAAAAGCTGTGATTTGCGTTCATACATCGCCTATGGTGCTAACTGCTATATGGTGTTACATGGTGGCGAGTCAATATGTTATTTGCATGATGGAATTCATTGATCCTCAGTCCTAATCCTTTCTAGCCTCCTAATATTATCTTCATCTTAAATTCGCCTGGAGATTTTTTGGTTTTATAATACAAGAGATTAAAATACGCAGTGAACTCTCATATTTCGTGTCTTCAAGGTGTTTATATAGTTTAATATTATAGTCCCTGATGCCAAAAAAAGTAAGACTAATTGTCTTTGACCACATAATGAAGTAGGCAAAATGTTTTTTTTTGTTTTTAAATCATAACTATTTCAATAATTTCACTAATCATAATCAAAACTATTTCTTGAGAATTTACTGGTAATATTAAAACTATGTAAATTGCTTTAAAAGAAAAACAACAACTATAATAAGAACATCTAAGAACCTAGGTTAATGTTGGAAAATAAATAAATGCTTTCGCTGTTGAAAAAAGTAGGTACTAAGAATAAATATCAATTAAAAATGATAGGACGTGATACTACTATTTGATTTTAATTCAGCAAGAAACGCTAGATGAAGAAAAATGTTCAGACAATAAGTATAATCCTTTTAAAATAAAAAAATATAATGTAGTTTAATGAAATTTTCTGATGCATATACAGGGGTGTCCCAGGCTGAGCGTGCATTAAAAGTTTCTAGAGAACTACAACATCTAGCTCGAAGATTTTTTGCACATCATAGTTTCACAATTAGATCTATCGATTAAAAATAATTTTATGACGGCACTTCGGAAGCCTACCGGAAGGTGACAGTAACTTTCTTATATTAAAGAGGTGTCCCCATTTTTCATTACATACTTAAATTCTCTGTAAGAATTTTACTGTAGTTTTCATATTGAAGCACTCTATATCTAACAGTGACGTTTTGAGGGAAAAAAATCTTTAGGGGTACAGACGAAAAAACTGCCTGTCAAAAATATGTGTATATATATGTTGCCCTCAAACGTCAAATTCAGTAATTACCAGCCACTGTGCCATAAAGAGAAAACATGTGGGTATCTATTTCAAAAATTGATTGCTCGAATGTCATATAATAATGGCCGCAGCTGTCATAGGAATTGAGCGATTAAAAATTATCGTATTGAAATGTTTTTGAAATGGAAATCCACTTTTTATTTCACCAGTAAAGGCACGTTTTCGTTACTTTTTGATTATACATGTTCCTATATACCTAAAATAAATCGCTTTAAGTTATTTAAGATTTAGTTTTAAAAGGCACCATTTTCTTGATTTTTAACCAGTAGCTTATGACTTTAAACGTCAAATCAATAAAACAATAAATCTGGCCATGTCATATTGTGACACTTTGTTCAAAAAGGAGCATGATTTCCGAGCCAACTTTGCGCTGTTTTTTCGATCTTGAACTCAATGACCCATTAATATTATCAACTTTAGATATACTAAGAGCAATACAGAGATATTTTTAATAAATACACTTTTTAAACTCTTAAGGTAATTGGTAACTAATTCTTAAGATAATCCGAATAATTCGGTTTCTGACATGATGGAAATAAATTGTCTGACCGTTTGACACATAATGTCAAAGGAAGCTAAGATAAGAAGAAAATATACGTTTCAAATTAAATCTTAAATCACTTAAAAACGTTTTATTTAGCTATAGGGTACGGGGTGGGTCAAATTCGGCAGCTTTTAAATGGAAATACCTTTTTCTAGCAGGAGATGAGCGATAGACAAATAACTAATATTGGTGTCTGGGGCTCAATTTTCATCAAAAACACAGCGGTGGGTGAAAACCGCACATCGATATCTACCGTTTCGGAGTTACGGGGAATTGTTTTTCAAAATGTATTTTTAACAAATCGCTGTAACACTGCTTATAGAAATTTTGTATTTTTATGAAAACATTTCCCAAAGCACCTTTTTAAAGTAGAATTTAATGGTTTAAGTATAATTTTTTTTAAAATTAATAATTTAAGGTATCAACAGAAAATGTGATTTTCTATATGTTTAGGACACTCTGTACATTTTTAATTTATTGAAAAAATTTAAAATTACCTTTCAAAAACATAACACACTTGACTATTTTGCTCGATT